TATAGACGTTATAATCTTGCTCGTGTACTAGGTACTGCAGACACTCACAACTGTGTCTAGTATTCTCACTTCTCACTTGCAAGCATTTCTTTTTTGTATGAGGATGTCCTCATAAGTTCCACTGATCCTGCATGTGCCAGACCGTTTAAAAAAAATATTGCCCGTATAAACAGAACTCCAGCTATGCTGGAATGAAAATTTTAAATCTGCGGTTGTTAATGAACCCATCGTTCAGGCAGACAGATTACATTCCCTCATGTATGAAACTCATCCTGTTTGATGGGGGTATGAGAGAAAAAATATTTTGCGTAATGGGGTGTTTTAAGTAAGCATAGAACCTACTCTAACTTTGTGAAATCCAGAGGTCAGGCTGGCTGCACATTATGGCTATAGGTCAGGCTGGCTGCACATTATGACTGTAGGTCAGGCTGGCTGCACATTATGACTGTAGGTCAGGCTGGCTGCACATTATGACTGTAGGTCAGGCTGGCTGCACATTATGCCTGTAGGTCAGGCTGGCTGCACATTATTCAGTTTTGGTTAATAAGAAAATCCAATTGTAAATATTTTGTAAGTTCTCATAAATAATGTAGCATGACAAATACTACTTTAAATTTTATTGATTTTAATGAACATTGACTACATAAAGGATCACTTGGACAACGAAATATGGATCCCAGGTTACAACCTGTACACATGTGACGGAGTGAACAGGCAAAAGGAAGGGGGGTTGGCCTGTACATTGCAGAGTCACTTGTTTGCACAGAAATGCTTAATGCCTCAAATGATGTAGTGGAAGTATTAGCAGTAAAGGTCGAGAACCAAAACCTAGTCATTGTGGTAGTCTACAAGCCTCCGGATGCAACATCCCAGCAATTCCAGGAACAGCTGTTAAAAATTGACCACTGTCTGGAAAATCTTCCAGCTCCTGCACCCAACATCTTGCTCCTGGGGGATTTCAACTTAAGGCACCAAAAATGGAGGAATATAGCAAATAATACTGTTGCAGTAATAACACCAGGAGGCAGCTCTGATGAAAACTCACACCCACGAGCTTTTAAATCTCTCCCACAAATTCAATTTAAACCAGCAAATAATAGAGCCTACTAGACTGGAGAATACACTAGACCTCATCTTCACTAACAATGATGATCTGATAAGAAATGTCACCATATCAAAACAATATACTCAGACCCACAACATAATTGAGGTTCAAAACATGTATGCGTGGAGCCCCAGGACCGACATAATGAGACTATCACGAGGGAGCATTCACCAAATTCAACTTCAATAACAAAAACATAGATGGGACCAAGTAAACCAAGTCCTAACCGATATAAGCTGGGAAGATATACAAGCAACACAGACCCCAAACTTATGCCTAGAACAGATTTAACTTGGTGGCACTCGATGTATGCACAAGGCTTATTCCTCTAAGAAAAAGGAGGAGTAGTGTAAAATAGAAAGAACAGGCGCTCCCTTTACAGGCGACAGAAAAGAATAAACAGAGCGGCTAAAAGAGGTCAATATATCTGAATGCGTTTGGGAGACACTGGTCAGAGAAATAGCAAACATCGAACTTAAGCTAAAGGAATCTTATAGGAGTCAGGAATCGCGGGAAGAACTAAAGCCATAAATGAAATCAAAAGAAACCCAAAGTATTTCTTCTCCTATGCCAAATCAAAATCGAAACAACGTCCAGTATTGGGCCCCTACTAAACAAGATGGGTCCTACACAGATGACAGCAAGGAAATTTAGTAAGCTACTCAAGTCCCAATATGACTCAGTTTTTAGCAAGCCGCTAACCAGACTGAGAGTCGAAGATCAAAATGATTTTTTTATGAGAGAGCCACAAAATTTGATTAACACAAGCTATCCGATGTTATCCTGACGCCAAATGACTTCGAACAGGCGATAAATGACATGCCCATGCATCTCTGCCCCAGGGCCAGACTCATGGAACTCTGTGTTAATCAAGAACTGCAAGAAGCCCCTATCACGAGCCTTTTCCATCCTATGGAGAGGGAGCATGGACACGGGGGTCGTCCCACAGTTACTAAAAACAACAGACATAGCCCCACTCCACAAAGGGGGCAGTAAAGCAACAGCAAAGAACTACAGACCAATAGCACTAACATCCCATATCATAAAAATCTTTGAAAGGGTCCTAAGAAGCAAGATCACCACCCATCTAGAAACCCATCAGTTACACAACCCAGGGCAACATGGGTTTAGAACAGGTCGCTCCTGTCTGTCTCAACTATTGGATCACTACGACAAGGTCCTAAATGCACTAGAAGACAAAAAGAATGCAGATGTAATATATACAGACTTTGCAAAAGCCTTCGACAAGTGTGACCATGGCGTAATAGCGCACAAAATGCGTGCTAAAGGAATAACAGGAAAAGTCGGTCGATGGATCTATAATTTCCTAACTAACAGAACACAGAGAGTAGTCGTCAACAGAGTAAAGTCCGAGGCAGCTACGGTGAAAAGCTCTGTTCCACAAGGCACAGTACTCGCTCCCATCTTGTTCCTCATCCTCATATCTGACATAGACAAGGATGTCAGCCACAACACCGTGTCTTCCTTTGCAGATGACATCAACCAAATCTTTCAGTGGGCTGCAGAAAACAATATGAAGTTCAACGATGAGAAATTTCAATTACTCAGATATGGTAAACATGAGGAAATCAAATCTTCATCAGAGTACAAAACAAATTCTGGCCACAAAATAGAGCGAAACACCAACGTCAAAGACATGGGAGTGATCATGTCGGAGGATCTCACCTTCAAGGACCATAACATTGTATCAATCGCATCTGCTAGAAAAATGACAGGATGGATACCTGAAGTTTACCTGGAGAGAGTTCCGGGGGTCAACGCCCCCGCGGCCCGGTCTGAGACCAGGCCTCCTGGTGGATCAGAGCCTGATCAACCAGGCTGTTGCTGCTGGCTGCACGCAAACCAACATACGAGCCACAGCCCGGCTGATCCGGAACTGACTTTAGGTGCTTGTCCAGTGCCAGCTTGAAGACTGCCAGGGGTCTGTTGGTAATCCCCCTTATGTGTGCTGGGAGGCAGTTGAACAGTCTCGGGCCCCTGACACTTATTGTATGGTCTCTTAACGTGCTAGTGACACCCCTGCTTTTCATTGGGGGGATGGTGCATCGTCTGCCAAGTCTTTTGCTTTCGTAGTGGGTGATTTTCGTGTGCAAGTTCGGTACTAGTCCCTCTAGGATTTTCCAGGTGTATATAATCATGTATCTCTCCCTCCTGCGTTCCAGGGAATACAGGTTTAGGAACCTCAAGCGCTCCCAATAATTGAGGTGTTTTATCTCCGTTATGCGCGCCGTGAAAGTTCTCTGTACATTTTCTAGGTCGGCAATTTCACCTGCCTTGAAAGGATAATGAGAACCTTCAAAACTAGGGAGGCCAAGCCCATGATGACACTCTTCAGGTCACTTGTTCTATCTAGGCTGGAGTATTGCTGCACACTAACAGCACCTTTCAAGGCAGGTGAAATTGCCGACCTAGAAAATGTACAGAGAACTTTCACGGCGCATAACGGAGATAAAACACCTCAATTACTGGGAGCGCTTGAGGTTCCTAAACCTGTATTCCCTGGAACGCAGGAGGGAGAGATACATGATTAAATACACCTGGAAAATCCTAGAGGACTAGTACCGAACTTGCACACGAAAATCACTCCTACGAAAGCAAAAGACTTGGCAGACGATGCCCCAAATCCCCCAATGAAAAGCAGGGGTGTCACTAGCACGTTAAGAGACCATACATTAAGTGTCAGGGGCCCGAGACTGTTCAACTGCCTCCCAGCACACATAAGAGGGATTACCAACAGACCCCTGGCAGTCTTCAAGCTGGCACTGGACAAGCACCTAAAGTCAGTTCCTGATCAGCCGGGCTGTGGCTCGTACGTTGGTTTGCGTGCAGCCAGCAGCAACAGCCTGGTTGATCAGGCTCTGATCCACCAGGAGGCCTGGTCACAGACCGGGCCGCGGGGGTGTTGACCCCCGGAACTCTCTCCAGGTAAACTCCAGGTAAACACTAGGGTCATCAAAGCTACTTGTAACCGGGTTTAAACCTTCATAATTGATACAATTGGTTTAAAAAGACACATGAAGAAACATTTACATACAAAGGTCAAGAATAACAGTTTATATAGACTTGAGAGCGACGTGTGAGAGGTAGTTTACCTGAGGAAGATGAGAGTTTAGAGAAGCCGTCATGATAGTCTATGAGGTTACTTGATTCCTGTCTCGTGAAGTAGATAAGGCCTAGTCTTGTTCAGTATCATGTATGCTAGTGTTTTTAAACAAAATATTATAAGATATGAAATTTCAAAATCACTGGGACACATGATATTTAACATGAATCACGTTATTTCATGGACTACCTGACGCCGTCTCAATAACCTCCCTCATACAGTCATCAGCTCACTACCTCTCACCTCACTTGCTAGTCTACATTATCTATACAATATAGTATATATTATATATATATATATATATATATATATATATATATATTATATAAAATATATATTATATATATATATATATATATATATATATAATATATATATATATATATATATATATAATATATATATATATATATATTATATATATATATATCATACTGTCATTCTTGACCTTTGTACGTGAAAAGTGTTCAAGGTCGTTGAACCGCAAAGTTTCCTAACAAATATGTCTAATAAATGGGTCTTTAAAGTGTATGTAACATGCTTATCACCAGTGTATGATATACCATTATTAATTAGTCTTTCCTATATTCTCAGTTGTTAAGAATACTGGAAAAATTCTTAAAACCAAACAAATACAATATGTTCTAAACCACTTAACGGTATGTAAATGTCAGCGTAAATTACACAAAATCTGAACGATTTTTTCTTCAACATTATAGAACTGTAGTAATGACTAAAGTCATAAGTAAATGAGTAGCGACAAGCAAGCACCTTGAGCGACACCATCCTGGTGACTTGTAGCACCAACACACACAACACTACCGACCACACACCACTGAACCATATATATCAGCTCGGCTCAAGGACGGTAAGCTCCAGTCCGTATTACTCGGAGGAGGAGGAATATCCCAGCCTTCGCCCAGCCATCATCGCTGCTTAAAGGAGAAATAAGAAAAAAAAAATGATGGGTTACTGTTTCTTTACGATTGAGTTACACGAAGACAGCAGAAGGCCCTTGGCACGGTGCAGGAAGACAGCCTGACAAAGTTACACGAGTTCCCCAAAATTCGGTTCTCTTATCAATTATGTTCTTGAAATGTGTCAACGACCTGTCTACAGGTATCAAATCTTGCATATCAGTCTTTACGAAGAATTTGAAATTCACGAGGAAGACAGAAACAGAAGACGAGCTATATTTAAAAAAAATGCAGGATTATATGACCAATTTACAATGATAGTCTGGTAATTGGCTATTTGAATTCAACCTTGATATTTGCAAGGTTATAAGGATGGTGAGAAGAAAGGAGGCCAGTAATATTTCACTAAAGAGAGAGAAACATTTACAAGGTTCATATAATTTGTAAAAGATAACGCCAGCGACGTTTACATCTCTGACATATATATAAACGACTTTCAGAAGTGGTGTATTACTGGAAAATTATGTCACAATGAGTTATGGAAATAATGTCAGTATCAGGTTGTAGTGTAATTGAAACATGCTAGAGAAAGTAGTAGAGGCAAATTTCAAATAAGAATTAAAATGTAAATAGCGGGGAGTCATGGAGTTACTGCTGTTTCACAACCTAGAACGATTAGTGTGAAAAGTGAGGTCAAAAAACTGAGCTTGACTCCCACAAACACAATTATGTAAGCACATACCATGACTATGCATATCGAGATATATATATATATATATATATATATATATATATATATATATATATATATATATATATATATATATATATATATATATATATATATATATATATATATAATATATCTTGTGTGAGATATGCTGAAAAAAGAAACAGTATAGCAAAACAGCCTTGAATACCTCAAACCAGCAGTTACACAGTCAGATCAGCTTGTCTCAGTTTTGTTATCCTAAATTTTATTTTCCGTATTCACCAAAACTTCTTTTCACACCCTTCCAAAATCAATCCACCAATTCTAGTTCTCTTCAACTCCAAACCCAAAGGTCATAAAAAGGAGCTTGCCCAATTCCCCCCCCTTTTTTCTTTTCTTTTAAAAACTCCACCCCCTTTCCGCCCCGTTTTTATTTCTTTTCCCCCTTTAAAAATATTTTAAACCCCGGGGACATAAACCTCCTTTCAAGCCACTTTTACTGGGAAAAAATTTTTTTTTACAACCAACTTGGGCCCTCAAATTTAAAAACCTATGCTTTCAGTAACCTACCTCCTACACCTACACTTCCATCCCCACATTGCCCCCCTATCCACCTGTATCCTTTTCCCAAATTTTAAAGCCAAAAACCTCTTACCACAAAACTGTCAAATATTTTCAAAAAAGGAACATATTAAAAAGGCAAAAAGGTCTTTGGGGATTTATATTTAAAAAAGGCTTAAGGTAAAGGGGGTTCAGATGTTAATTAAATTTGGGGGTAGGACGAAAGCATAAAGATTTTACAGGATTGACTCAATTAATTTAAAAAAGGGGGAAATTTTTCCCATTTAAAATACCCTTAGAAAATTTAAGAAAGGGGTTTTTAATATATTTATAATTTAAATATATATATATATATATATATAAAAATAATAGAAATAAAAATAATTAATATATATATATTTTGTAGTGAATGGTTCAGAAAACCCGACATGTTGATAAATTAGACACATGTGCAACTTTTGGGTACTTTATTGGGGGAAACGTTTCCCCCACACAGTGGCTTCATCAGTCCATAAAAAGGGAAAATCTTGAAGAACGGGAGGAGAATGGGGTAATCAGTCCCTCAACCTTGAGTCGAGGGGTCAGTCCACAATTTTGAATAAATAGGGCATAGTCTGAGAAGGAGTTTAAAACCTTTGGCAGGAGAGGGCAGAAGTCATAGGGCGTTAACATTTTTTTCAATGTTTAAGTAGGCGTGCCCAAGAATTAGGGAAGCGAAGAATTCCCAATTTTGGGGCAAATGGGAATTCTTTGCTTTCCCAAACTTGGGCACGCCACTCACATTGAACAAAAGTTAAACCCACCTATGACTTCTGCACCTCTCCCGCCAACGGTTTTTTAAGCTCCTCTCAGCACGTAGCCGTATTCATTCAAGATTGATGGACTGACCACATCGACCAAGTTGAGGACATTTCCTCATTCTCCCCCTGTTCTTCAAGATTTTCCTTTGTATGGGCTGATGAAGCCACTGTGTGGCGAAACGTTTCCTCAATAAAGATACCCAAGAGTTGCACATGTGTTTAATTTATCATATATATATATATATATATATATATATATATATATATATATATATATATAAAATATATATATATATATATATATAATATATATAATATATATATGTATATATATATATAGCTTCTTACTGATGCTCATATAGCCTAGAAAAAAAAAGATCTTTGCAAAATGTCATAATGTATATCTAATTACTTAGAATAAAGAAAAGACATCGAAAATATACATTAATAACATCGAAAAAGATACATTTAAAATATATTAATGCCAATGAACAAAGGACACATTTAAAATGCCTAGGGTTTCAGCAGAACCCTTGGCATCAGCGGAACCCTAGGCATCAGCGGAACCCTAGGCATCAGTGGAACCCTAGGCATCAGCAGAGCCCTTGGCATCAGCGGAACCCTAGGCATCAGCGGAACCCTAGGCATCAGTGGAACCCTAGGCATCAGTGGAACCCTAGGCATCAGCAGAGCCCTTGCATCAGCGGAACCCTAGGCATCAGCGGAACCCTAGGCATCAGCGGAACCCTAGGCATCAGTGGAACCCTAGGCATCAGCAGAGCCCTTGGCATCAGCGGAACCCTAGGCATCAGCGGAACCCTAGCATCAGCGGAACCCTAGGCATCAGTGGAACCCTAGGCATCAGCAGAGCCCTTGGCATCAGCGGAACCCTAGGCATCAGCGAACCCTAGGCATCAGCGGAACCCTAGGCATCAGTGGAACCCTAGGCATCAGCAGAGCCCTTGGCATCAGCGGAACCCTAGGCATCAGTGGAACCCTAGGCATCAGCGGAACCCTAGGCATCAGTGGAACCCTAGGCATCAGCAGAGCCCTTGGCATCGGCGGAACCCTAGGCATCAGTGGAACCCTAGGCATCAGTGGAACCCTAGGCATCAGTGGAACCCTAGGCATCAGTGGAACCCTAGGCATCAGTGGAACCCTAGACATCAGCTGAACCCTAGGCATCAGTGGAACCCTAGGCATCAACGGAACCCTAGGCATCAACGGAACACTAGGAATCAGTGGAACCCTAGGCATCAACGGAACCCTAGGCACCAATAGAACCCTAGGCATCACTGGAACCCTAGGCATCAACGGAACCCTAGGCATCAGCAGAACCCTAGGCATCAGCAGAACCCTAGGCATCAGTGGAACCCTAGGCATCAGCGGAACCCTAGGCGTCAGTGGAACCCTAGTCATCAATGGAACCCTAGGCATCAACGGAACCCTAGGCATCAACGGAACCCTAGACATCAGTGGAACCCTAGGCATCAGTGGAGCCCTAGGCATCAATGGAACCCTAGGCATCAACGGAACCCTAGGCATAAGTGGAACCCTAGGCATCAACTGAACCCTAGGCATCAATAGAACCCTAGGCATCAACGGAACCCTAGGCATCAACGGAACCCTAGGCATCAACGAAACCCTAGGCATCAACGGAACCCTAGGCATCAGCAGAACCCTAGGCATCAACGGAACCCTAGGCATCAACGGAAACCTAGGTATCAACGGAACCCTAGACATCAACGGAACACTAGGCATCAACGGAACCCTAGGCATCAACGGAAGCCTAGGCATCAACGGAACCCTAGACATCAACGGAACCCTAGGCATCAACGGAACCCTAGGCATCAACGGAACCCTAGGCATCAACGGAACCCTAGACATCAACGGAACCCTAGGGATCAACGGAACCCTAGGCATCAACGGAACCCTAGGCATCAACGGAACCGTAGGCATCAACGGAACCGTAGGCATCAACGGAACCCTAGGCATCAACGGAACCCTAGACATCAACGGAACCCTAGGCATCAACGGAACCCTAGACATCAACGGAACCCTAGACATCAACGGAACCCTAGGCATCAACGGAACCCTAGGCATCAACGGAACCCTAGGCATCAACGGAACCCTAGGCATCAACGGAACCCTAGGCATCAACGGAACCCTAGGCATCAACGGAACCCTAGGCATCAACGAAACCCTAGGCATCAACGGAACCCTAGGCATCAACGGGAAACCCTAGGCATCAACGGAACCCTAGGCTCAACGGAACCCTAGGCATCAACGGAACCCTAGGCATCAACGGAACCCTAGGCATCAACGGAACCCTAGGCATCAACGGAACCCTAGGCATCAACGGAACCCTAGACATCAACGGAACACTAGGCATCAACGGAACCCTAGGCATCAACGGAACCCTAGGCATCAACGGAACCCTAGACATCAACGGAACCCTAGGCATCAACGGAACCCTAGGCATCAACGGAACCCTAGGCATCAACGGAACCCTAGACATCAACGGAACCCTAGGATCAACGAACCCTAGGCATCAACGAACCCTAGGCATCAACGGAACCGTAGGCATCAACGGAACCGTAGGCATCAACGGAACCCTAGGCATCAACGGAACCCTAGACATCAACGGAACCCTAGGCATCAACGGAACCCTAGACATCAACGGAACCCTAGACATCAACGGAACCCTAGGCATCAACGGAACCCTAGGCATCAACGGAACCCTAGGCATCAACGGAACCCTAGGCATCAACGGAACCCTAGGCATCAACGGAACCCTAGGCATCAACGGAACCCTAGGCATCAACGAAACCCTAGGCATCAACGGAACCCTAGGCATCAACGGAACCCTAGGCATCAACGGAACCCTAGGCTTCAACGGAACCCTAGGCATCAACGGAACCCTAGGCATCAACGGAACCCTAGGCATCAACGGAACCCTAGGCATCAACGAACCCTAGGCATCAACGGAACCCTAGGCATCAACGGAACCCTAGGCATCACGGAACCCTAGGCTTCAACGGAACCCTAGGCATCAACGGAACCCTAGGCATCAACGGAACCCTAGGCATCAACGGAACCCTACTAGCTAGCTAGGTAGGCATCAACGGAACCCTAGACATCAACGGAACCCTAGACATCAACGGAACCCTAGGCATCAACGGAACCCTAGGCATCAACGGAACCCTAGGCATCAACGGAACCCTAGGCATCAACGGAACCCTAGGCATTAACGGAACCCTAGGCATCAACGGAACCCTAGGCTTCAACGGAACCCTAGGCATCAACGAACCCTAGGCATCAACGGAACCCTAGGCATCAACGGAACCCTAGGCATTAACGGAACCCTAGGCATCAACGGAACTCTAGGCTACAACGGAACCCTAGGCATCAACGGAACCCTAGGCATCAACGGAACCCTAGACATCAACGGAACCCTAGGCATCAACGGAACCCTAGGCATCAACGGAACCCTAGGCTTCAACGGAACCCTAGGCATCAACGGAACCCTAGGCATCAACGGAACCCTAGGCATCAACGGAACCCTAGGCATCAACGGAACCCTAGGCTTCAACGGAACCGTAGGCATCAACGGAACCCTAGGCATCAACGGAACCCTAGGTATCAACGGAACCCTAGGCATCAACGGAACCCTAGGCATCAACGGAACCCTAGACATCAACGGAACCCTAGGCATCAACGGAACCCTAGGCATCAACGGAACCCTAGACATCAACGGAACCCTAGGCATCAACGGAACCCTAGGCATCAACGGAACCCTAGGCATCAACGGAACCCTAGGCATCAACGGAACCCTAGACATCAACGGAACCCTAGGCATCAACGGATCCCAGGCATCAACGGAACCCTAGGCATCAACGGAACCCTAGCATCAACGGAACACTAGGCATCAACGGAACCCTAGGCATCAACGGAACCCTAGGCATCAACGGAACCCTAGGCATCAACGGAACCCTAGGCTTCTGGGGAAACAAGTTTTAAAATCACTATGCTACAAGAATGACTGAAATTTAAATTTTCTTGTTTAATAATGTAACCACAGAGCTTTTATATTAATGATAATAAATTATTATTATTATTATTATTATTATTATTATTATTATTATTATTATTATTAACAGTAGTAGTAACAGCAGCAGTAGTAGTAGTTGCAGCAGTAGCAGTAGTAGTAGTAACAGTAGTAGCAGCAGCAATAGTAGTTGTAGTAGTAGTAATAGCAGCAGTAGTAGTAGTAGCAGTAGTAGTAGTAGTAGCAGTAGCAGTAACAGTAGTAGCAGCAGTACTAGTAGTAGCAGTAGTGGTAGTAGTAGTAGCATTAGCAGTAACAGTAGTAGTAGCAGTAGTAGTAGCAGTAGCAGTAACAGTAGTAGTAGCAGCAGTAGTAGTAGTAGCAGTAACTGTAGTAGTAGCAGTAGTAGTAGTAGCAGTAGCAGTAGTAGTAGCAGTAGTAGTAGCATTAGCAGTAACAATAGTAGTAGCAGTAGTAGTAGTAGTAGCAGTAACAGTAATAGTAGCAGTAGTAGTAGTAGCAGTAACAGTAGTAGTAGCAGTAACAGTAGTAGTAGCAGCAGCAGTAGTAGTAGTAGCAGTAGTAGTAGTAGTAGTAGTAGTAGTAACAGTAGTAGTAGCAGCAGTAGTAGCAGTAGTAGTAGTAACAGTAGTAGTAGCAGCAGCAGCAGTAGTAGTAGTAACAGTAGTAGTAGCAACAGTAGTAGTAGTAGCAGCAGCAGTAGTAGTAGTAGTAGCAGTAACAGTAGTAGTAGCAGTAGTAGTAGCAT